GGTTGGAGAGAAGGGTTGAGTTATGAGAATAAGACCGAAGATAAATACCAACAGGATTGAAGAATGGTTTAAAAAAACAAAGTCTATTGCCAAACACAAGCAGGTGCAGAAAAGGGGAGAGGTTTTAACAGCTTTTAGGAATGGGAGATAGATTGGAAGATGGAGATGAGTTAGTTTGGCTCATACTAAATTTAAAGTATCTGTGGGGCACGTTTGTGAGGATGTTACATAGAGAACTCAGGCAATTAACTCCATCTCCAGCCTGGGATTTGTAAGCGTTAGTAGTAGTAGACACATTACATGGAGGATGGATAAAGACTAAAAAGTGTACTTTGAGATATGGAAATCAGAAACCTATTCGTGATATTTGTAGTCAACAAACAAGTTTGTTCCTAAGAAGTTATTGAATCTTGGGACTTATTGTGTGTCCTTTGAACTATATAAGAAGATGAGAAGAAAACCCATTTCTCAGCACCAAATTTCTAGTGACTATTAACTCTTTCTCATTCTGGTTTGCCCACATACGAGCCTTTGCCAATGTTAATAAAATAACATTGATGCCTTTAACAACTGGCAGATTGCAAGTTGTATGGCAGACTTGGCTTTTCAGTTGGCTAATGGGATTTCTAGAACAAAAATAGGAAACACTGAGTGATAGATTTCACTGAAGGAGAAACTAGAAAATTGTTATATACAAAATTGATGTGTATTCATGTGTGTTTGCCTGCCTAACTCTGTCTGTGTGTGCATGTAAATGATGGGAAGAATTATCTTGGCTCTTTGATGCTGTAAAAGCAATATTAGCACAGTTTGCAGAAACTCCTTCATCTTTATGTTATGTTACACCAAGAGAAACTTGGCCGTCTATTGGATTCTTGGGAATTCATAATAAGAAGGTTGCCTGATAAAAATAGGAGAATTTTAAATAATTAAGTATCTGTAGCTATTTTCAGGCTATCTACCAACAACATGTTTTTTGCATATAATCTGTAGGATGAGCTCATTTAACACAGCATTCTTCTGAGAAATTAAACATTTAATTTTGAAGACATACATACTCTGTTATACATACTCAATTTTGAAAACCTAAAAGTATGTAAAGTATATGTTTAAATCTGCACTGTCCAATATGGTTATCGTTAGCCACAATGGGTATTGAGTACTGAAAATTGTCCAGTCCAAGTTAAGATGTGTTGAAAGTGAGAAATATGTACCAGATTTCAAAGATGTAATTTTCTTTTTTTTCGTGGAGTCTCGCTTTGTCACCCAGACTGGAGCGCAGTGGGACAATCTTGGCTCACTGCAACCTCTGCCTGCCGGGTTCAAGCCGTTCTCCTGCCTCAGCCTCCTGAGTAGCTGGGACTACAGGCGTGTGCCACCATGCCCAGCTAATTTTTTTTTTTTTTTTTTTTGTAGTTTTAGTACAGATGGAGTTTCACCGTGCTGGCCAGGCTGGTCTCAAACTCCTGACCACGTCATCTGCCCTTCTCAGCCTCCCAAAGTGCTGGGATTATAGGCAGGAGCCGCCGCGCCTGGCCAGATGTTGTATCATGTTTTAAACATAAAATATCTCACTGATAATTTTAAGATTGATTACTTGTTAAAACAATATTTAGGACATGCAAGGTGATTTACATATATTAGTAAAACTGGACATAAAAGATGGACACTGGGGACTACTAGAGGAGGAGGCGAGAAGGGGAAAGACTTGAAAAGCTAACTATTGGATACTATGCTGACTACCCGGGTGATGGGATTAATCCCACCCCAACCCCAGCATCATGCAATATACCCATGTAACAAACCTGGACATGTACCCACTGAATCTAAAATAAAAGTTGAAATTATTATTATTAATGTTATTATTATTTTGAGACAGAGTCTTGCTCTGTCTCAGGCTAGAGTGCAGTGGCGCTATCTGGGCTCACTGCAAACTCCTCCTCCAGGTTTCAAGTGATTCTCCTATCTCAGACTCCCAAGTAGCTGAAATTACAAGCGCGTGCCACCACACCCAGCTGATTTTTGTATTTTTAGTAGAGATGGGGTTTCACCATGTTGGTCAGGCTGGTCTCGAACCCCTGACCTCAGGTGATCTGCCCACCTCGGCCTCCCAAAGTGCTGGGATTACAGGTATGACCCATTTTGCCTGGCTAAAAGTTGAAATTATTTAAAAATGATATAAAATAAGTATTGCCTGTTTATTTTTTAAATGTGACTACTAGAAAATTTAAAACTACAGAAGTGGCTCTCGTTTAAGATTTGTATTATGTTTTTAAAAAATTCTTTTTATCCCAGAAGCTAAAGTAGAAGACTTGTATAATCTTTTTTTTTTTTTTTTTTTTGAGACGGAGTCTTGCTCTTTCTCCCAGGCTGGAGTGCAGTGGCCGGACCTCAGCTCACTGCAAGCTCTGCCTCCCGGGTTTACGCCATTCTCCTGCCTCAGCCTCCCGAGTAGCTGGAACTACAGGCGCCTGCCACCTCGCCCGGCTAGTTTTTTTGGTATTTTTTAGTAGAAACGGGGTTTCACCGTGTTAGCCAGGATGGTCTCGATCTCCTGACCTCGTGATCCGCCCGTCTCAGCCTCCGAAAGTGCTGGGATTACAGGCTTGAGCCACCACGCCCGGCCTAAGACTTGTATAATCTTTTGATTGGACAGCATTGTCTAGAGACAATGTTATCTATTTAGGTGCTGTTCTGGGAGAATCCCAGAGCCAAAGGACATGGAACATGGCCTGCCAGTAATTAGGTTTCACACCATGAGTGGACTTGACTAAATGCATTTCTATGCATGATCTCCTTAGACCTTTACAACATCCCATTTTACATAATCATTATTAGCCTCATTTTTAAGGTATTGAATGAGAGACAAATCATGCTTAGAATTACCCTAGGCCTTCGATTTCAACAAAATGTAAAGGAATCATTTCTGTGCTAGGAGGGAAAACATTTAATGCTATCATTTGTGTAATCAAATATTTCCTTTTTTTTTTTTTTAAATGACAGAGTCTTGCTCTTGTTGCCTAGGGTGGGGTGCAATGGTGCGATCTAGGCTCACTGCAACCTCTGCCTCCCGGGTTCAAGGGACTCTCCTGCTTCAGCCTCCTGAGTAGCTGGGATTACAGGCATCCACCACCACACCCGGCTAATTTATTATTATTATTATTATTATTATTATTTTGTATTTTTAGTAATGACAGGGTATCACCATGTTGGCTAGGCTGGTCTTAAACTTCTGATCTCAGGTGATCTACCTGCCTTGGCCTCCCAAAGTGCTGGGATTGCAGGAGTGAGCCACCACGCCCAGCCTATCAAATATTTCTTACTGAAATAAAACACAAGCTTCTGAGTTGAGAAAGCATCAGTGACTTAAAGGATAAAGTATCTGATTCCTAGTTCCTGTACAGTCAGTGTCCCCACCCTGAGGTTGCTTCTTATTTGGTACCAATTTTCCTTTCACAATTTGCTGCAGTTCTGATGTTGAAGTACTATAGATTATTGTCTCCTCACACAGCATGCAGGAGTAAGAGGAAAATAACACTGAAAATGAAACACCAATTTGAAAGAAGAAAAGATATTCAAATGAAAAAAAAACAAAAAACAAAAAACCCCAGGATAAAAAAGGCCCATTATCTCAACACAGAATTTCAAGAGAGGAGTTGAAGTAAGAAAAGGAAAATGGGGCACATGCACCTGAGTCTTGACTTTCCTGCCCATTTGCTTTCATTTCCAGTATTCTAGAGCCCCTCATGAATGTTTGACAGAATAATTAATTTAGAAATACTTATTTTTGACCAGACACAGTGGCTCACACCTATAATTCCAGCACTTTGGGAGGCTGAGGCAGGCAGATCATGAGGTCAGGAGTTGGAGACCAGCCTGGCCAACATAGTGAAATCCCGTCTCTACTAAAAATACAAAAATTAGTCAGGCATGGTGGTGGATGCCTGTAATCCCAGCTGCTTGGGAGGCTGAGGCAGGAGAATTGCTTGTGCGGGGAGGTGGACGTTGCAGTGAGCTGAGATCGTTCCACTGCACTCTAGCCTGAGTGACATAGTAAGACTCCGTCTCCAAAAAAAAAAAAAAATACTTATTTTTATTCTTTCCTGGATACCAACAAAGAAATAACTTAAGATTTGGAAATTCTAGACAAGGGTTCCAGGCTGAAGAAATGTCCTGTCAGTAAGAAACTTAAACTATTCCTGTAATTAGGTCTGGTGTGGTGGTTCCCACCTATAATCCCAGCACGTTGGGAGGCAGAAGCCGGCAGGTTGCTTGAGCCCAGGATTTCAACAACAGCCGGGGGAACATAGTGAAGCCCAGTTTCCACAAAAAAAAGTACAAAAGAGAGACAGAGAAAGCCAGGCTTGTTGTTGCATTTCTGTAGTATCAGATCCTGCCTGACATGGGAGGATCGCTTGGGTCCAGGGAGGCTGAGGCTGCAGTGAGCTGTGATCATACCACTGCACTCCAGTATGGGTGACAGAGTGAGACCCTGCCTCAGAAAAACAAAACAAAACAAAACAAAAGTTATTTTTCCAGCAGTTTAACTGCAGAGCTATAGAGGTGACTCAAGATACAAACCAAAGGGTTTCTAATTGCAAAATGTTTCTTGAATATACCACCACCACCACATAGTTCTTCTTTTACAGGTTTCTTCACATTTCTTGTGATTTAAAACACCCCCACCCAACACACATAAATAACATCAAATCAGAAATGAATTGTAATTGCCACAGTCTACAGCATATTGGAATTTCTTAGATTTTAAAATCAGTAACTTTCTAGATTTAAGATTTTAAATAATTTACATGCCATCAGTTAACACTTCATGGAAGATTTCAGTGGAGAGAGTGATACAAATATACATACATATATATGTACATTACCTTTATGGAATTTTCAAAAAACAGCCAAAAAATTGGAGTTATATATAGACCTCTGGAATTGGTGTGCAAGTGTTGTATAAGGGAAAGACAACTATGCAAAAACCAAAAGACATCTGCTGAAACCCGGGATTGAGCCAGGGACCTTTGAGATCTTCAGTCTAACGCTCTCCCAACTGAGCTATTTCGGCTACCCTAGGTTTGTTTCATTAGTCTTTTCTTCAAAATATAAAAACTGCCATTTGTAAGGTCAGTGTATCTTCCAATGCCTAATTCTGTTGTCTTCAGTATCACCCGTCATTCACTCACCTTCCCGACAATCCAAAAATACAAGTTCTGCTGCAATTTATGTCCGAAAATAGGATCCAATTTTCCCCCGCAAAAGACGGGAAAGAAAAGGCGAGACAACCGGGCACGGTGACTCACGCCTGTAATCTCTGCACTTTGGGAGGCTGTGGTGGGTGGATCACTTGAGGTCAGGAGTTCAAGACCAGCCTGGCCAACGTGGTGAAACACACCCCACCTACAAAAAATATAAAAATTAGCCAGAAGTGGTGGCGCAGGCCTATAGTACCAGCTACTTCGGAGGCTGAGGCAGGAGAATCACTTGAACCAGGGAGTTCGAGGTTGCAGTGAGCTGAGATCGCACCACTGCACTCCAGCCTGGGCGACAGTGAGACTCCGTCTCTAAACAAAAAAAAAAAGAAAAAAGAAAAAGAAAAAAAGAAAAAGCGAGGAATAGGTCAGATCAGGAAGAAGCTCCCATGCTTGGTCACCATGGAAACACTGCTCAGAAAACTAAGGGAAATTATCTAAAACTAAAATGAAATTATCTAGACTTTTCCTTTTCTCTTCTTTTGGCTCTTTTTTGTTTTGTTTTCTGTCTTGTTCTTCAATGACACGCCAAAAAGGAACAGAAGATTATTGGACACGTTAACGTGGTAGTAGGTTTATAGCTTGCAACTGAAGAAATCCTGAGCAAGCCAATTCTTTTTCTCTGTTTTCGTCCTTTTACCAGTCTAGTGCTAACACATCCACCTTAGGTGGTACGGAGACCCAGGGAGTGGAAACGGCAAGCATATGTTTATTTTAGTGTGACCACGCAATATATATAATACATATAAATATATAAATTTAAAATTAAAAATAAAAATATATTATGATATAAATATTATATAATATAAAAATACATATATATAGAGAGAGAAGATTCCAGCGAGAGAAGGAGAGAAAGAGAGAGAGAGAGAGAGAAAGAGAGAGACAGTCCCACTCTGCCAGGCTGGAGTGCAGTGGCAATCTCCCCTCATTGCAACTTCCGCCTCCCGGCTCAATCAGTTCTCCCATCTCAGCCTAGAAATTCTTATATAACTTCAAAAGTGTGAGAACATTGGACTCCTCTTGTTAAATAACTTAGAAACAATTTCAGAGTTTACCGAATTTCTGAAACAATCCTCTCTGGAATGAGGAAATAACTACAGCCAACAACGACTTGCAAATTGAATTTTAATAAAACCGTCCCTATGTCTGGACAGTTTTCAAACTCGGTCTCCTATTCCGAGAGAGTCCAGGCTTTCTGTTAAAAAATTTAGATTCTCTTACAGGCTTTTTTTTTTTTTTTTTTTTTGCTCTTCCTCTTGTAAGGCCTGAGCCTCCCCAGGCAGGAGACAACATTCCTCTAGGTTTATCCTCGCCGCCTGACGTCTCTCCCTAGCTGGGCGCAGCCTCAGCCTATGCTGCAGAAATGTTTGAAGTTGAGCATATAGAGAAGTGAAAAAAAGTGGAAAGTGATGTGGAAATTAAAACAGTGGCTACATATATAAATCTCAACACAGTGCTTAAAATGTGTGTAAATGGTTCTAGGAGTGCACTGTACTATTGTGAAAAGTTCATTCAGAAGTAAACGGGAGGGAAGGTGGAGAGGAGCCGAGTGCCAGCTGGTGGAGAGAGGGAAGAGACGGGGTGCGGTGAAGTGGAGAAAGAAACACAAAAAGGGAGAGGGGTAGAGGGCAAGGAAAAGCATCCTCAAGATTATTAGGACTTGGATGGACGGGATGGTAGAGTGAGCCTAAGCATGCTTCTCTCCGTCGCTTCCTCTGGATATGAGGGAAGAGAGGTTCCTTTTTGTCCCTAGGGAAGTAGGCTCGACTAGGAAGGAGACCTAGTTCGTTTTGTCCAGACTGCCACGGCTTCGCGAGCGCCTCGCCGCTCTTGCCGTCGCTCGATAGATAGTCTGGGCTCTTTGGGGGAGCACGTGATGTTGCGTTTTTTTGTTTGTGGTTACGGAACGGCTGATACTGTAGCTTCTGAGGGAGCTGCAGGGATTTCCCGATTTCCTGCGTGCCTGTGTTGAGAGTTAGAAGCGGGATCCGCCGACAGCTTCGAGACTGAGCACGACAGTGGAAACGTCTAATTTTATTAGGCTTTGCTTGAAATGCAAAAGATGAGAAAGAAAGTTCCCGTTCGTTTGCTCCACATATTTCCTTTAGAATGAAGCCGATAGAAAGTCAACTTCACCCTGAAGAAACTCCTCCTGGCGTTTGAAATGAGCTTCATTACTCCTCACGTCCACCTCTTGGCTCAAAAGGACTCTGCAGATTCGCACAGCGGCTACGGAAAGGCAAAGTCGCTGTACACCCGGTGTTAACTACGTGTGCAGCCACCATTTTCTTAGTCCTTTTACAGTTGCAGAGGTAATATAGGTGAATCCCTCACAAGTCGAGTGGGTTGACCTCAAAATTGACTTTAGCTATGGCTTGTGACCACCTGGCAGGTGGTGGACCATTACAGCGTTTAGAAAGTGAATAAAAGAAAGGATGCATAGGATGCCCACTCGCTTACTTGGCTTCTACAGATGCAGAGAGAGAGATCGCTTTTCTGCCTTCCGGGTGTTTAGTAACTTAATTTTTTATCTTTTGTTTAAATGAAATACAGCTGAAAATAAAAGGAAAATTCCTTTCAACGAGATAGTATTGAGATGCTTGCAGAGTATCCCCTCGTGGATTTCTGCTTAGCCCTGTGATACCAGCATCAGAAACTGTGCAAAGAGCTCTAATCTGGAGGTGTGGGTTGTTCAGTAGCTTAGAAAGAGGTTATTCCTGGAGAATAAGTGCAGCCAGTAGAAAAGGATCCATTGGGATTGGGAGAATAAAAGTTCATTCATTATTTTTATTTATGGAAAACAAGGAAATGAGCCTTACCCTATACTGGTCTTGGTCCCTGGAGTTCAGAGTGCTTGCATCTCAGGGCAGAAACTTCCTTAGAGGACCCAGAGAAGTATGTTCCCCCTACCAAATGTCAGCTGAAGTGACTGTGGTCTTTTTGTCATTTGTCATTATGTTTGCCACTTATTGTATGCTTGTAGTTAAATAGTTTACATTAAGTTTTAGAGTTTGTGGGTTTCTAATGGAAATAGTGACCACCAGCATATCAGGTCCTCAGCCACTGGCAGTGAAATCGTTTAGTGAAAGCTTGTAGGGCTTCTGCAACCTTGTTTAGAAGAAGAAACACAAGGTCAGGCATGGTAGCACACGCCTGTAATCCCAGCACTTCGGGAGGCTGAGGTGGATGGATCACCTGGGGTTGGGAGTTCGAGACTAGCCTGACCAAGAGGGAGAAACCTCCATCTCTACTAAAAATACAAAATTAGCCGGGCATGGTGGTGCATGCTTGTAATCCCAGCTACTCAGGAGGCTGAGGCAGGAGAATCACTTGAATCCAGGAGGCAGAGGTTGTGGTGAGCCAATATTGCACTATTGCACTCCAGCCTGGGCAACAAGAGCGAAATTCTGTCTCAAAAAAACCAAACAAACAAACACCACACACACAAAAGGACTTAAGCCACACAGTTCTGTGGTTTCTGATTATTTCATTTACAGCTAGAAATTGGCTGGATGGCCAGGAATAGTACTTGCTTCCATAGTGCGTGGTTCACCTTTGTGACTGCTGGGACTGCTTAGAAAGAATAGGTGGATAATCATAAGCAGCAAATAACCTTAAGTGAATGAACAAGAATTACCTCTCTGTATGAGAGAGAGAGATGTAGAGGTCAACTCAGATATCTTGACAAGGCAGGAAATTTTGGACAGCTGGGGAAGGTCATGGAGCTCTTCTTACAGTGCCACCAGGAAGAAAACGGATCTCTGGAGGTACTGGGGAATGAGCCCAAGACCTTGTGCATGATAAGTACACACTCTACCACTGAGCTATATCCCCTCATAACTCCTGTGTATTTGGAACACTGGTGACCACCATTATCTGAGTATGTGCTCTATGTCATAAAGACAATTACCATGTGTTTCCAATTCCACTGTTTTTGATTTCCCTTTATCTGAGTGCCCCCTCTCTTAGGCACGGTTACACCACGAAAAGGTACCTTAACAGTAAAAAGAAAAGCACTGTTCCTGATTTGGGATCAGCAAATCTATTTCCAAATAGAGCAAATTAACTGCATTTCAAAAGTATAACATAACCACATTGAAAATTCAGGAAAAAATTGACCTAAGAAAATGGTTTACACATTGTTCTCATTGTAAAAAGAAAAAGAACAGCAAGCAAATCTTAAACTCTATGTATCAGGAATATTTTCTGTAATGCTAAGGCGACAGCAATTCTGATATTTTGTGTGAATTTTAGGATTGGGAAAATGAAATTGTGTGCACCTGTGTGTTGTTGGAACCAGGTTCTCATTGTGGGAAAGGAGGATGGTAAAGAATAGTCCTATTGGTGATGATGGGAATTAGAGGCATCAGTATGAAGTTATACACTTAATTGTAAAATTTCTCCACAGATCTCTCTGCTAACTGGGATTAGAACAAATGATACCTCAGATGCAATGAGCAAAGATAATTCTATATATTGATTTTCAAATACCATTCCCTACTAAAAGGAACCAGCCATACTAATAGAAAGTAGCTACTAGTGTCAACTACACTGACTCCAGGACTGTGCCAGGGAAACTACAAGATGAACCTAAGATATCTTGCTGTGCCAGAATGTAGGTGCTCAGAATTGATGGGTATGATTAAAAGGACACAGAAGCCAGCTTGAAAGGGATCTAAATGGCCAAATCTGATACATTTTGAGCATTAATGATCACAATAAGTGATTATCAATCTTGGGAACTTAAATAAATATGGAAGATGGGAAGATTTTCCTTACAGTTGTATGCCAAGTGGTAAATGTGGAAGTAAGG